ACACACGCTCACAGCTATATCCAATAGCTTATCAACACAAATAAAACTTTCCAAGAAATTAGTTTCTTGTTACTAAAACTCAATTAAAATGCATTCTAGTTAGCCCTGAACCCAGGAAATTCAGGACACTACTCCCATTCCCTGGCATTTACAACCCAGAAGACAGCCCAGTTGAAGGTGCTGCATAGACACACTTAATGGTAGTTGTTATCAAGGGCAAATATTAAAAGTAAATAATAATCATAGCAATATCATAGTAGTTATTGGTCAGGCTTTCTCTCAGTTGTCCCCTTGAGGGACAAGTGCCAAATTTTGTGAATTAAGAAATAGGCATACAAGAGGAATATAAATTAAAACATGGACTTCATTACAGAAGAATCTGGGTTGAAGAACATAACTTGAGCCTGAAACCAAAAATGGGGGCCTCCTATTCCTTCGCCTGAAGTAAGACATATGACTGCTAGACCTGCAGCATGGACAGCAGCCAGCTGAAGCACAGCAGCAAAAGCGTTGGAACATCTTTCAATACAATCTGAGTGAAAACAAGCTCAAAAGTCCCAGGAGAAAAACCAAGCTGAGTGTAAACTGTAGCATGCTTTCCTTGAATTTGCCCTTTGATAAACCGTGCCTCCTCCTTGCTGGGTGCCCCTCCCTTCCCTCCTCCTCCTCTTTCTCCTTCTTCAGACAGGGTCTCCTATAGCCCAGGCTACTGGCCTTGACCTTGAACTCACTATGTAACCAAGGATGATCTTGAACTTCTGATTCTCCTGCCTCTATCTCCTGAGTACTGACATGGGATTACAGGTGTGCGCTCCCTGACTAGTTTATGTGCTGTTGCGGATTGAACCGGGCGCTTCATGTACGCTAGATAAGTGCTCTACCAATTGAACCATGTTCCCAACTCCTCTATGTTTTATTTTTATTATTTTAGAATCCCATTTGATGGGTCAGGGTAGTGACTGAGTTCAAATTATATTCACTGTGCTATTAAGAAGAGAATGCACTCTGGATTTTCTGATTGGGGAAGCTGGATACAGACAGAATATGGACATACATGGTGAGGAGGGGAGAGAGGAGGGAAGTAGGAATTCCCTACTGACACTGGCATTGACATTGCTATATACCTCAAAAAGAAAGCACCTCTCCACAGAAACCACTCAGAGCTGCCTCCGTGGCCAGCACCACTTGAAGTGAGCACCTCCTTATCAAACTGCTGACTAAACTGCAAATTGCAACCTCCACAGACAGTAATAGTGAGGGCTTTGGATTCAGATTCTCTTTGAAACACATCTACTACTTCCTAGTGTGTGAGTCTGAAACACTTACGTTGAGACTCTCAATGAGCATCTCATTGTTACTTGAAGACTGACAGAAGCAGCTACCATGCAGGGACTGGAGAGACAGCTCAGTGGTTAGGAGCCATTACTACTTTCTGGAAGAGAGTTTGGTCCCAACACCCATGTTGGGTGGTACACGACTGCCTATAACTCCAGCTCCAGGGGATCCAACACCCTCTTCTGGCCTCTGTGGGTGCGGGTGCACACACAGAGACACACAAACACACAAATAAGAAAAAATTATGTGAATTCTTTTAAAAAAGAAGCAGCTACCAGCTACTTAGATTGACTTGAGAATTAAATCAGATTATAGATCATGAAGTGTATTTAATGGTGCTCGCTACATAACAAGCTGTGGTCAAGTTTGCCTAGGGTTGAGAGGTTTACATTGGGACAGCAGAGCAAGAGCCAAGATAGACTGTCTAAGCATGAACCTGAAATGTGTCACACAGCAGTCTGCTGTCCTTGAGAGCATTTCTAACCTTCTTTGCATAGCAATTTCTTACAAATGCTGCACACTGATGAGGCTTTTCTGTAGTTTTAGTTGCTGCATAGTCAGTACTTATGTGCTAGTGTCTGGTACTACCTTGATCTTAAATAAGTTTTGCTACTACTAGCCCTCAAGAGTCTGCATCAAAATGTAATGGCTATGCATGAATCCTAGGTCCAGGCCACATTTTTGTTAGCCCTAATCAAACTCTGCCACCATGAACCGGGACACTCTTCACTTACGCCAACTTCTGGCTCCATAAAGACCTTCTGCACCTGGTAGCTATTCAGAAATCCCTCTAAACTCCAGCACAGATACACAGAGGACCCACTGTATAAGTTGAGTCCCCATGAGATTCATGTTTAAAAAGATGTTCTCTTTTTGTAGGTGCCCAGTCATGGCAGGTGGATTATTTTCTATTGATAAAAGTTACTTTTTTGAACTTGGAACTTATGACCCTGGTCTTAATGTTTGGGGTGGAGAAAATATGGAGCTGTCATTCAAGGTACCTGTTAAAAGTGTTTTTTTTTATTTTAAATTTATGATTAAGAGTTTATCATTCTAAGGGTTAGGGAGATGGTTCAATTGCTAAGTGCTTGGCCCACAAGCATGAAGACCAGCTGATCCCAGCTACTCTTGCTGAATCAGTGAGTTCCAGGTTCAGTGAGAGTCCCTGTCTCATAAAGGTGGAGCGCAAATGAAGAAGACACCTGCTATTGATGTCTGGCCTCCATGTACATGTACACACTTGCATACAAGCACTACCAAATATGTGTGTGGGCACAAATGAACACTTACACACACACATACACACAAATGAGTTTATCATTCTCAAGAGGTTTTGTTTACTAAGTCAGATATCTGCCAGTAAGAAGAAAAATAGGGTCCATGAATTGTAAATTTGGAGAATCAACCATATAATAGTTAATATTTAATTAAATAATACTTATTTAAATAAATTAATAGTTAATATTTAATTAAACAAGAATTAATGTTTTAAAACTGTGTTTCTGTGTCAAATTATGGGGAAAATTGCTTTCTTATTTATGCATAAATGCTGTGGGATTTACACTTGTGTCAAAATCATTCTGGGATTTATACTTGTGCAATAACTCTCCTGAAATATATCTCTAATATATCAGAAGCAACAGAATTTCCTGCAATGGATGGTCTTGATGAGTACAAATGACAGAAGTTCAGAGACTACCTCTAATTCAGGCCACCAACAAGCCAGATATATCTGATAGTGCAGCATCTTTGGACACCATACAATGACTTATATCATCCCTAATTCACACCCAAGAAAACCTTAGCTATAGTAGAATAAACAACAACTGCTTTCCTATGGGGCAAGGTGGTTTGTGTTCAAATGGGTATAAATTTAGAGGTCCCAATCAAGAATAGTTTTGAGTTGCACACAAGCAGTCAGGTCTCCTCTGGAAGGGGAAGGTGAGCAAATGGATATCCATAAACCTTGTTTCAACCCAAACAGAAGCATGTTACATATTTTATACACTGCTGTTCTGTGAAGAGTTGCTTAGACAAGAGATTTTTTTAAAGGGTTTACATTGATGGCTAGGAAGGGAAAATATTCTACTTCAATAATAGTCGAGTGGTCCACCATAGCAACGTACAAAACAAAATAAACCTATTTAGCTTTCTTTTCTATTGCAAAAGTGTTTTTTTTTTTTTTAATTTGGAAGAACTACTTTAATAAGGGGGTGTGTCTCCGGGTGGCTTTTTATCATCCTTAATTGCCTATGATTTGTGATCCATCATTTGATAATTGGTGCCTGTCACTAACTCCTCCCAGGTATGGATGTGTGGTGGTGAAATCGAAATCATCCCATGCTCCAGAGTGGGCCACATATTCAGAAACGACAATCCGTATTCCTTCCCTAAAGACCGCATGAAGACAGTGGAGCGGAATCTGATGCGGGTGGCTGAGGTCTGGCTGGATGAGTACAAGGAGCTCTTCTATGGCCATGGTGATCATCTCATAGACCAAGGGCTGGATGTGGGCAACCTCACCCAGCAAAGGGAACTTCGGAAGAAACTGAACTGCAAAAGTTTCAAGTGGTACTTGGAAAATGTCTTTCCTGACTTGAAGGCTCCCATTGTGAGAGCTAGTGGTGTGGTAAGTTAATGTGGCCATTTAAAATCTTCTTTTGTAAAAACAACACAAAAATGCCTTCAATAGTGTTTAGAAAAGGATGAAGTATTATATTTTAAGCAACAGGTATGAATGCCACTAATACAAAGTATAGGTGAGAATTAAATATAGTTAAATACAGTTAAATATTCACTCAACATCATGTACCCATACTGTACATAGGGAGATGGGTCAGTACCTCAGAACGAATTTCAGGATGATTAATAAAATAGGCTCAGTCTCCTCCTCTAACATTTAACATTGAATAGGGAAGAAAGAGAATAAACTAGTAAGTAAATGATATGTGAATGCAAAATACAGTGGGTCTCATTAAAGGACAAGGCCACCAATGAAAACTCCTTGTAAAGAATGGTGTCAAGAATCCTCTCAGAAGAAGGGACTTTGAAACCAGGTCCGAAGCAATACATCAGCCAAGTTCTGAGAAGTGTGAAGTAGAGCACGCACTCCTATGAAATTCTAAAACTGGCTGGAAGCAGTCTAGAGATGGAGAGATTGTTAGGGTATGAGCGGAGAAGCATGGACTAAGAAAGAACAGAGACTTGGATCACACGATCCTTGTATGTAATTTTCTTCCTTTGTTTCCTTCCTTCATCAGGGTTAACCGATGGGATTATGAGCTTTAGCTGAGTTTTTAAAAAGTTGTATTATTTTTTAGAGAGAGGTCAAAATAATAGACACAATCAAGGCATAAGAAGAGATTTCTAAAGGGAAGTGGAAACCCTGGGGCAAAGGTTTCCTAAGTCCATTCTGATTCCAAGACTGTAACTTCATGTGAAGGGAAAAATAAGGCCGGACGGTGGTGTGTGACCAACCAATCCTCCACTAGAGCCTACGCTCACTCACATCTGTTTAGTCTCGTTTTATTTCAATTTTAATATTTATTTATAAATATTTCCCGTGTTCTTTTGATGTTTTTTATAGCCTCTGTTCCCTTGCATTCAAGAAGTTCTCTCATTTGACCATCAGCATGTCTGTTTTTTTCAGGCCAAGAATTTCTATTTCTTCCTAGAGCTAGAATCAACCCTTCTTCCAGTCTGCCAAATCTGGTAACAAAGACTTAGGAAAACCACTGCTGTGGTTCTTATTAGGTAAATCCAGTAAGGGTGTGAAAAAGAGAAAAGGAGTTGAAAATTTGTCTTATTTTACAAAATTTAACCATTAAATACATATATGTGACCTGCTTGTATGCAACAATGTCTTGTGAATTTCCAGTTTTATAGGTCACAATAAAATAGCAGCTACTTAGAGTAGTTCAACCTGCTACCAACCTTAGATAAACAATTAGGAGGAATACCTCGCCTTAATATGCATCGAATCTATCATCTATCTGTCTATCATCTATCTATATCTATCATCTATCATCTATCTATCTATCTATTATCTATCTATCTATCACATATCTATCTATCTCATCTATCTAATCATCTATTATCATTTAATTCTTTGCGTGTTTAAATTCCAACCTCTAAACAACAGGAAAGACTCAGTAAACTGAGAATCTCATCAACATTACTGAACTTTAGCCACCAGAGGGCGCCAGAAAACTATCTTTTGGATCCACAGAAATTGCTATTAAGTCTTCTGAAGAGCTCTCCTAGCAAAAAAGCCGCTTTCTGACTGATACCTGAGCCATAAGACATCAAAATGCCTCACGTATATTTTAAAGCAAGTTTAACAGATCCTTTCTTCCTATTTTCGTTGCCTCTCATAGGCGAACATTAATCAAGATGTCACTTGCTCCCTTCTGACAGTAGGCAGTGTTTTTGCCTTCTTTTTCAGTTAATACATAATATTGAAAAGTTGCAAGAAACTAAAATCTATCTTTATTTTTTACTTGTTTCATGTTTTCTATCTTTCAATCTGCATATCTAGGAATTTAAGTCCAATGAAAGTAATTTTTTTAGTTGTAAATAAGTTCTCATCGAACCAATAATGTTGAAATCAATAAAAAGAACCTCACCAGTAATGTGTCATTTCATTGTTAGAAAACAGTTTAAGGCTAAGGTTTTAAAAAATATTTTATTTATCATTTTTATTTTTATGTGTATGAGTATATCGCTTACATGTATATAAGTATACCTGTATCGGTCAGGCAATGCCCAGGGAGGTCAGAAGAGGGTGTTGAATACCCTGGAACTGGAATTATGGATGGTTGTTAGCCAATGCCCTTAAATGCTAAGCCATCTTTCCAGCCCCACCTAAGCCTAAGATTTAACAATTACGTAATGAAATGTGGAAAATTCCCACTTTCAATATTAGAACATGTATGTCAATTCAACATTTAAATTTTTAAAAATTATTTATTTAATAACCACATACTTAGAAGAAACATTTCATTACAACAGCATTGACATTTTCAATAACAATTTCCAGAGCCATCTCTTTCAAAATTGGCTGTAAAATTTTAGGTTTACAGTTGAATTAACACAGTTATACAATATTGTACTCAGTATAAACCCTATAAGACATAAAAAAGACTTAAAAAAGATCTCCATTTCATTATTAAAATACACAGTTTCATACAGAAAACTTCATTTTTAATGCAATTAACACTAAGGGTTTTAACACATGGGTTTCTAGTCTCTATATATCTGATTATTACTAGTAACAGTTACTTTCTGAGCTCCTTGGCATCTGAGCACGGATATAAAGTCATCAGGTAGACCTCAATGGTAATGGTTTTCACATCTACTAATTATTAAGGAGCTAATTTTTATGCTTTAAAGAATTATTTTAAAAATTTTTTAAATTTACTAACCACGTGATTAGAAGAAGCATTTCGTTACAGCTTTAATATATTCAGTAACACACTCCAGAGCAAGGATACATCTCTTTCAAAAGTGGCTGTAAATTTTTAGGTTCACAGTTGAATTAATAGTTATACAATATTGAACTCAGTATAAACCCTGTAAGATATAAAATTGAATGAGTTTTTACCCTTAAAGAAGATCTTCATTTCATTTTAAAATATGCTGTTTCCTACATTTTTAATGCTACTAACGCTTAGATGTTTGCACATGTGTCTTTAATCTCTATGTAGTTGATGATTACTAGTCACAGTCAGTTACACTCAGATCCTTAGTATCTGAGTATGAATATAAAGTCATCAGGTAGATTTCACTGGTAATGTTTATCACCTCTCTTTAACATGAAGTAATTTTTATGCTTCCTCCTCAAATATATCTTTTTTCTTAATTTGTTGATTTTTCTGTGTGTATCTCATACAGAACATCCCACACAATCTTATTCATCTATATACCCACTTCCCAAATGGCACCTCCCATAGCCTCCCCCCTCCCACATACTGGAGCCTATATACTCTGTCATCCCTATTACTGTCCTCTGTGTTGTCGACACCCCCAGCCATTCTCCAGTGCTTGTCCATCTGCTGAATCTAGTCAGCCTATCTAGAGATCTTTGTTTTAGGAAGATCGGTTGTTCCTCATCTAGCAGCAATCAGTTGTCAATATTCCTTTAGATAAGATTGGGATCTGCTGTTCATTTTCCCAGTTCTATGCAGGGTTACTGTCTAGGAGTCTCTTGCGCCACCTTGGCCAATAACTCGAAGGTATCACCTGTCTGGAATTGTTTCTTGTTCTGTAGCCTTTAGCTATACATATGGACTCTTAAAAATTATATTGACCCCATTAATCTTTGGTTATACTTTCCTTTTGGGTGTGTAAGACCCTCCTGTTGGCCCAGATAAAACAATTATTTTTACTCTTAAGGTTGTTTGAGGATCTGTTCCACAGGGGTCACATGGTCTTGGGAGGAGCCCTTGGCTCCTTTCTTTTACCAGTTCCTGAGGCCTATACTAATTTCGTCAGGGGGACATAAAGGACAGTTTTTGCTCCTTGCCCTCCTAGGTCGACTAAGTTCCAGAGAACTATGAGCATCTCTCAAAATGTCCTGTAACTGTGGTGAGTCACCTGTCCTCTTGAGCAAGGAGGGCATGGAGACTCCACCAGATAGACCTGAACCAGTGTCCAGTCTACAAAGAGGAGGGTCAACACAGAGGAACATTTCTTCCATGCTTCCAAGCGAAGTTAGCCATGGTTGAGCAGGACCTTTGACTTATCTTCACATAGACGGAAACCTTAAATTTTTTAAAGATTGAAATAGTTTGCAATTCTTTAAAAATGAAAAAAGTAAACCTTTCATCATGAAATGAGGAAGAGCAAGCCCTAGGATGCCACAGACCATTTCTATAAAAAGCTAATAGTTTCCCAAATTTTCTGATGAGAAGGAAATCCCCACCTGAGTGAAGAGGACACAAAGGACAGAAGGGGGCAGTTTTCTCTTTCTTTCCAGCACTTTCCAGTGCCTGGAAGAAGGGACTGTTTGAAATAAAAACAAAGAAACCATGGGCAAGCAGATGTGGGAAACACTGAATTCTGAGCAGCAAGCTGCGCACTGACACTCAGAGCAGTATGAGAAGTTCTGACGTGGAGCATCCTGCTCGCTGTGTTTTCCAACTCGTCTGAAGGTGAAATATTTTCTACAGGATCCACAAGTTCATGGGGCTCATAATTTCTCTGCTAGGATCCAGAGAACAATCAGGGCATCAGTTTCCTTCTTTGAACTCCAGAGTTCCTTCACATGTTGCTATTCATTTGGAGCTTGCTGTGTGTTGTGACTGCTCAAATTTGCTAATGGTTGGATGCTCCTGTATTCCTGTATTTGTCATTTTAAGCTGTATATGGACCATTTTTGAAGTTTTTTTTTTTTTTTTCTGGGGATCCTTCCCTCTAGAACTGCTTTGTGTTCCTCTGTGTCAGATACCTTAGATGTTACCACCGACGTAAAACTGCTGATGTTTGCATTCCTCGAAGGTCTTGAGGGTTTCTAGCCCAGACAAGAACTGTAAATTTTTATTTTAAATGTGAATGAAGGTCAGTCAGGGTAAGACTTGAGATTCCAGAGAAGATCTATCTTCCTTGTTATTTTTCTTTGATAATGGGCAAACTATTTTTCCTGGTACACTGTTCCACAGAGGCTCAATTTAGATTTTATCTTTATGTGGAAGACTTTAGTTCCAACTCCCTGACTTACGCATGATCAGGTTTTTCTCACATCTTTCTGAGGCGATGTTCCCCTCGCTTACCGAGATTCCAATAATCACTCTCATTTTCTTCCCAGCAGTTTCTTATCCCGGAAGCTGCTCCCTACATATCTTGCCAGTTATGCTATACATTTAAAAGTAGGGACCAATCCATTGGACAGCTTACTATAAAATCTGTCACTCCTGTGTTCTACACGGCCTGTATAGTTGCAGCATCCCAGAGATGGAGCTCTGTGTGATTCTGCTCTACATGGCTCCTCTAGAAAATTTGAAAAGCATAAATAGCATTATTAACCTACCATCTTGTTAATCCTGCACAGGATGTCAAAGAGAGCAAGAAAATCCACATTTTCTGCATTCAGTGGTGATTGATAGAAAGCTTCCTCCATATTTGACCCTGTAAATCCATTAAAAACCTGAGAGTCTGCCAGAAAGTGCCTTTAGGCTTGGCTCTATTTTAGCTTTCGTGACTTTCCTGTAATGAGTCGTAGTTTGACTGAAGCATTAGGAAGATTCTGACAGGGAATCAGCTGGAATCTGCTCTTCTCTGAAAGACTCAATTTATCCATGATTCAATGCCTAAGCAATCAGAGAGCTTGGAAGGGTCAGCCAAAGAACACAGCCTATAACTCTTAGCTTAATGAAATTGTAGGTATGTGCACTGACTTTTAAAATATGTACCAGGATAAGCTAAAAACAAAAACAAAAAACCAAGCAACATTTAAAAACCTACCTTCTATACCACCTTTTGCTCATTTATCATTCAGCATTCCAGGAAAGGGTTAGTTAAAAGCTTCTGTTTGTTGAAGCCCTAGCTGAATTGCAGGCATAAATTGACAGATTGAAGCTGTGCTTTAGCAAAATTACATTATGTCTCTGCTAGAGCTAGCAACCAGTAAAATCATTTAGTGCTAAGTAATGCTAAGCTATCAACTATCTTTTAACCTTATTATGATTATATATTCTGTATTTTCGAAATGTGTCTGAATGCTTTGTTATACATTAAAATATGTTCTTAATTCTCATTTTGTATTCTGCTTTCTAGCTTATTAATGTGGCCTTGGGGAAATGCATTTCCATTGAAAATACCACAGCCATCCTGGATGACTGTGATGGGAGCAGCAAGGTAGGCTGGACAGCTTGGACCCTCTGTCTCATAGTAGTTGATAGGAGCAGCGCCAGACATGCACACTGCTCATTTGAGACTTGACTTTCACCCAGTAGAAATCCACAGATAATCTCTAAACTTCAATGTGCTCATCAGATTGGTGTAAGAAAGTCCGATTCAACGTAGGAACAAAGAGGAGCGGAGGACTGAAGTCCAGCCATGGATCCGTGATGAATCCCTGGTGAATCTAGTCCTGGCTCCTCTACTTGCAAAACTTGGTTAACTTACACAAAATCTTAAACCTTTGAGTACAGTAATGAAAATGGTGCTTATTTCTGAAGCTGGTATGGAATGAATCGGTACATGTAGAAGCAGGTAAGGACTACCAAATGCTCTGTGCTCTATAATATTGGTTGCAAAGACAAAAATATTTGGGAAAACACTGGTGAGATAGTTCAGCAAGTAAGGACACTTGCTGCCCAAGCCTGGCAAGATGTGTTTAATCTCTGTAACCCACATAAAGGTAGATGGAGAGAACTTTGCAAAGCTTTCCTCTCTCACACACAAGCTGTGACATGTACACACACACACACACACACACACACACACACAGACACACACTATGGATACATTTACATGCAATGATGATAAATGAACATTTTAGAAAAATGTGTAAAATATACATAATATACAGATGAAATGGAAAACAGATTTCTAAATAATCATAACGGGTCAATTTTACTCTCTGATCCCATTTCTCTTCCCAGACCCCCTTCCTCCTATATTTTAGGGGAATAATGGAAATTCCATAAGTCGATGGAAAATCGTTCTGTGAAATAACCACCAAATCAGAGCACAATGCTTAAGAGAAGGAGTGGTACCAGGAAAACAGAACAAGGACCCCCCTGTAGTGTTGGAGGTGAACTTAGAGAGATCACACCTCCCCCTCCAACATATGTTCCCTAACAGAGCTACATTCCATGCAAACAGTTATCTGCTTTAGGTGCCAAATAGGACCCACAGGAACACCAATTCGTGAGTATAAATCAGCGCCCCCAAAATCGCAGCTCACACTTTGGTACATAAATCATTTCTCAACCATGGTCTGGGCTTGCTTACTTCTTTGTCCTGACTGAAGAGATTGCTTGTACCTTCAAGCTCATTCTTAATCTACATCTTAATTCCAAACTTCCTCTAGAAGGAAAGGCATGTCTGCTACTGTAATTCTGTGAACTATAACTTGAAGTCAAGGAAATTAATTAACTAGGAAAGGGAGGTGATGGAATGATGAGTATAAAGAATAAACTAAAAGAAATAACATTTGCTGATTAACAAATGATTAACTCATGATAGTCACTAATTATAAAAACTGCACAATTAATCTAAATTATATTAAATAATTCATTTCTTCAAAATTCATCATTGGAGGACACTTAGCACCCCTTTAAAAGCAGAATGACTAGTGCAGCCACAGCCGTCCACCAGCTTCCATTTCCTTTCTGCCCAGTGCAGCCACAGCCGTCCACCAGCTTCCATTTCCTTTCTGCCCAGTGCAGCCACAGCCGTCCACCAGCTTCCATTTCCTTTCTGCCCTGTTGCTCATTTTTAGCTTTTGCATCTGGTGGTTTGTTTGAATAATAAAAGGGGCAGAAATATACATGAATTTAATTTGTTCAGGGCAGAGTTGGTGAGATTTAATACCAAGCCCCTGACTTGTATTCATCTAAAACAACCCGAAAAAAATAAAACACTCAGATGAACTCATCAATTTTGCTCCCTTACTGTACCTAAAAGGTCTTTTTCATTTTTAACTTCTAAACCAGCAGAGCCAGTCCTTATAAGGTAATGTCACATTATCTTAGTAGCCACATGGCCTCCTTCTAGTTTGCTGTAATCCATGGTTCTCAGATGTTGATACCCACACAAATTATGTTGGGACTTGGGGGAGATTCTGGCTCAGAAAGTCAGTGATAGGGCTGAGATTCAACATTTCTAACTAGTTCCTGGGTGACATGATGTTGGTTCAGGAACTACACTTTGAGTGGCAATATTCATCACCATTGCTTTAATGTAATCTGATATTATAAAGTAAAGGTCAACTCCAACCCAGGCTAGGTGACACAGGCTTGTAATTCCAGCTACGAGGGAGGCTGAAGCAAGAGGATCACAAGTTGAAGGCATGCCTGGGTTGCAGAGCACATGCAAGGCCAGCCTGGGCAACTTAGTAAACCTGTCTCAAAATAAAAATAAATGTAGCTCAGTGATAGAGCTCTTTCTTATCATGTGAAAAGCCCTCAATTCAGTCTTTAGTACTTTATAAAAATTTTTATTTATTATTTTTATTTTTTATGTGTATGTGTGTGTTGCCTGCATGTAGGTAAGTGTACCCATGTTGTACAATGCCTGTGGAGGACAGAAGAGGCTGTCAGATCCACTGGAACTGGAGTTACAGACAGTTGTTAGCTGCCATGTGGGTGCTGGGATTTGAACCTGGGTCTTCTGCAAGAACATTCAGTGTTCTTAACCCCTGAGCCATCTCTCCAGCCCAAATTTAGTAAAGAAGTGTTGGTTATGTTACAAATTATTTATTAAGCAAATTTTCAATAAGTTTTATCAGTTGCCTACTTCGCCCCCAAGAACAGCAAATTTCACAAAGACCAGAGCTTTAGAATAAATTGTCTAAACAGCCTAATTTTTTTTGCAAATAACTGTTGAAATTATTTGTAAAGATTGAAAACATGGTTCTGTTACCTGAACTGGTATTTATTTTGGATACTTTCAATTCTTCCAAATGGTACTTTGCCAAGAATGTGTTCCTGTTGAGTGGGAGAGTCTATCATTGTGGCAAAGTCAGATTTCAATAACCTTCTGTGCACTAGAACAAAGCCACTGGAGTCCAACTATTTAAAGAGATAGTAAGTAAGAGAACTTAATAATTTCCACTAAAGAAATTTAAGGCATGACTTGGATCTACCTTGAAACTACCGATGACTAGGAAACTTAGTTTCATAATGATTTATACATCACAATACTCCAATCTTCTGAGTTGTCTGACATTCAAAACACTGGAAATATCATTCATATAAATATATACTTATTGCACTAACAAGTTATATTGTTTCAGGTAATATCTATTGAGGACTTACAGTGTGCCAGACATTTAATAATCATTACTGTAGCTGACTGACATAGATCTTGCAACTTAACAATGAGAAATATGACATCAGACATAGTACAGCCATGCTATCAATTCAAAGTTGTAGCAGAAGGATTTGCACACACATCTTAAGATCAGAATGCCCCTACTCTTACCTCTTGCTGATAAAAAAAAACTTTGGTAAGTTCCCTGCCTGTGCTTGCTACCTGAAATGGCCTTTCCTATGTCCATCTCCCCTGCAGCTTCAACAGTTTAATTATACCTGGTTAAGACTTATCAAACATGGAGAATGGTGCTTAGCCCCCATCCCAGAAAAAGGATCCCTGAGTCTGCACCTTTGTGACAACAGAAACAACAGACTCAGGTGGCTGCACAAATCAGCATCAGCCTTTCACCCAGAACTGGTAAGCAATACATTTGTACCATTTCTTTAAAAAAATATTTTATTTATTATTTTTTATGTTTATGAGTATATTGCCTGCATGTATGTAAGTGCATCCGTGTCATACAGTGCCCGCGGAGGTCAGAAGAGCTTCAGATTCCTCTGGGACTGAAGTTATGGACAGTTGTTAGCTGGCATGTGGGTACTGGAAATTGAACCTCAGTCCTCTGCAAGAGCAGCCAGTGCTCTTAACCACTGAGCCATTTCTCCAGCCCCTGTACTGTTTCTTTACACAAATTTAACTTTCAGTCAAATGGGACAGAAAACTCTTGTCAGGCCCCTCAATTAGAAGCATTGCATGCTATTTATAACATTAGAGGTAGCATTAAAGTTCACTCAGAGATAGAGATTTTTTTTGCAAATTGTCAAGCCTTGTTTTATTTTTTTTTTAGTTTTTCAAATTTTATTTTAAATGAGTGATTTAAATAGGTGGTACCCGTTTCCTTCCATTATATTGGTATCATCCTTAATTCTACACAATTTTTTTGGTCAATCATGGTGCCAAGTGTAATACTGATATTGGTTCTCATTGGTTACCAGAAGAGCTTAGAGCCAGAACACATAGAAAAAGCAAGAAGCTGTGTGCTTACTACAAGCATTGCCATTAGACTGATTCCAAGGGATACTACACACACACACACACACACACACACACACACACACACACACACACACTAACTCTAAACTTCATAGAAGTCTATTTGTAAGGTTGC